TTCATCTCAAATCTATATATAGTAGATAGTTAGATACATATTTTGGATAACAATTTGGAACTTAAATGATCGTGTCTACAGGTTAAGGTATTACTTACATGTATAGATTATCAAAAAAACAAAGTGATATTAGTAGCAAAGGGTTCATGTATCTTGAAACAAGAGGCAGTCATCATTACTGGAAACGAGGCCACATTCATGACACTGAGCCGCAGTGCACTTTCATATGTCCTCTATTTACATAGAACAATTGTTTTTTACCTCCCCTTATGTACACTTAAATCTTGCTTCTTCAATTTCTTCTATTTTTCCAACAGAAAATCTATAATTTATTAATACCGTTATTAATCTTGTTTATCTTATATCTTAATTTTAGTCTCAGGAATCTCAGCAGGAAGGAAAGAGAAAGAGGAAGAGGGGAAGAAAGCTGCGAAAAAAGAGACAGATGAGGTCAACTTACTTTCCCTCAACAAAACTATGGCTGCAAACGAGCATAGAAAGGTCGAGGTTCTTGAAGGGATTCTCACTACCCTTCAAGGAATTCATGGGTGCCTGCAGATATTGACTGCCACTCCCCAATCTACAGCTGCAGATATCCAAACGCATGCTGAGCAGTAGACATTATAATTAAAGTGTTCTGTCCTGCTACATTCTGTGTATATTACAGGGTGACACAGGCATTAATGTATCACATGCTCAAAGTGTTTATACGAAAGAAATCTGCAAATATATATAATAAAGAATGTTCAACATTTTGAACCCATTTTATTGTGTGTTTAGTATCTCCTTAATTTGGAATAATACTTAAATCTTAAAACTTAAAATCTCTTATTTTCAAGTTTAATATGGTTTAACATTATATCTTCATAACATGTTCATATTCATTATACAAAACATATATTACCCTTTTTTCATTGAACCTTTGAAGATAATATTTACAGTATATAAAATACAAACAGTTTACATACAAATCCCATTGCCACCTTCAATGTTCAAGTAAATCAAAATAATGATGTACATGGATATGTTCAATATGTAGACTCTGGGTCATATACCATCATCAATAAGCAATGCATTTCTAAGTACTTTAAAAATAGAAAAGCAATGTCTCTGGATATAGCAGATTTCAAGTAAAGCATCTGGCAACCAGTTGGGCTCGTGCTGCATAGCCCTCATTGTTGACAGGGCCATCAAAGTCGTCAACACCAACATCAGGAAGCTCATGGTCTCGTCCAAGATAGGGTTCTTTCCAGTCCTTTGATAACCGGTACAACACGGTGCACGCAATGATGATCTGGCATGCCTTCTTTGGTTTTACTCTTAGGCCTCTTCTCAGACAAGGAATTTCTTCTTGATCTGTCCATTAGTCTGTTCAACAACTACTCGTCCTCTCATGTGAGCCCTGTATTGCAAAAATTGAAAAAATAACCAATAATTATATTTGTATATCAGATACACTATAAAATAATTTCCCATAATTGACATAATATTTTTTTTTAAAGATTGTTGATATTTATGTGGCAGCACTGCAGGATCTCTTCCATTTGAATTTAATATGCCATAATTTTTCAGAAACTCTACATTGTAACATATTACATCAATCAAACAAGTCGTTGATGGAGGACGGCAATGCAACTACATTAATCTATTTTTTTTAATGAAGAAGATGTACTACATAACACTGCAGTATAGCAGTGGTAATAATTAAGCAGGTCAAGGGTCATATACCTGTAATATGAATCACATTGTATAAATCAAAAATAATCTTATACATGAACATAGACCTACAAACATGTATAACATATGGCTGTAGGACAAGCGACCCCTGACAACTCCCCCCCCCCCCCCCCTGCCAATTGCCAGCGTGACAATTACCCCCTATAAAATTAAACCCCCCTCCCACCAGTAACGCCACTTCCCAAGGACAATTGCCCCCTATAAAATGAAAAAAATCCCCCTACCCAGGAAAATCACTTCCCAAGGACAATACCCCCCCCCCCAGAGGAAAATTACCCCCTATGAAATGAATAAAAAAAACCTACCCAGGAAAACCACTTCCCAAGGAAATTACCCTCCCCCCAGAGGAAAATTACCCTCTATGAAATGAAAAAAGGGACAATTACCCCACAAAAAGTTTGCTTTTATCAAAACGAAATAATCATGATTTTTTTTTTTATGGTTATCATGGTACCAAAACAATGAAATACATGGTGGATGGTAATTTGGTCCAAAAAAAACGTGGTTACCATGGTACTTTTTTGAAGGGATTATCAGGGTAGGCTTCCCCTTTCATGAACAAGGGGGGGGGGATAGATTTTGGGAGGGGATGGGTATTTTTTCAGCGAGGGGAATTTGACTTTGTGTTGATTTTCCAGGGGGGGGGGTGTGGTTTCCTTGATTTGATTTGATTTGGTTTCTGCATCTTTTTTTCTTTTTTTTCATCATACATTTTCATGAACATAATATGGTTTGATATACAGATAATAAACGAAATTAAAAAAATATATTGAATGCATTATTAAGTAAATTAGATGCAAGAGGGCTACAGAAATAAGCTAAGTAGCTTGACGGGGGGGGGGGGGGGGGGGGGGGGGGGGTCCTGGGGATTGTCCAGAGGGTAATAGGGTCTACGGTATATATATATGTATTTTTTTTTTAAATTCCAACGGTTAAAGTATATGATGTAGACCTAATTCAATTTAGTAAAATAGATTTACCTATTGTAGGTACGTTCAGCACGTGTTTGGGGGTTGCGGAAAGGGGTCATGAGCCATGATCGTTGGGGGTAGCCCGAGTCACCGAGGAGAACTCCCTCCAATTCTCCACGCTGGAAATCCTGCCCAACATAGGAATTCTCCAATACTCTGCAGTCATGGACAGACCCTGGCCAGCGTGCACAGACGTTGATTATGTTGTAATTTGCATCGGTGACAAATTGCACATTGATGCTATGCCACCCCTTCCTATTGACGTACGCATATTCGGTTGTCTTTAGTGGACTGCCGTCAAGCCATACATGAGTACAGTCGATGGCTCCGACGACCATCGGGAAGCCACTCAACTCCAAAAATTCCATTTGCTTCTCACCCGCCGGCCTCCATGTTACTACCTGTTCTTTCAAACTAGCAAGCACATTTGTCACACGATTAATTATTCTACAAACAGTTGAAATTGAAACACCATGATCTTTCAGTACACTGGAATAAAAATCTGAGGTTGCGTAAAAGTTTAAAGCAACGAAAATCTGCAACCTCGCATCAATAGAATGACTCCTCTGAGTCAACGGCGCAATTCTGTCCTCCAACAAGTCAATAACTCTCATCACACCCTGTCGCGTAAACCTATAATATTTGTGCATCTTTTTATCGTTTAATGTATCCAATGGATTAGTCCTATCCCTAAAAACACGCTCTCTATTAAGTGCTCTCGCGTTATTTATGTAAAGAAGGCGAGCCATGATTAAAATACCTTGCAAAACAACCGAAATCCTCCATACACCGTACCGGTGTACAAAAACTTATAAAAGTTTTCGCGCCAGTATTTGACCTTGAGACAGGAAGTTACGTTTTTGAACTCATCGTAGCTCTGCGAGCACCCTTTGAGCATCCGCTAAGCTGCGATGAGTTAGCGACGGGTTAACCCGTCGCAGGCGCTTAGTGAAATCCATAAGCAACTCATCGTCCATGTGCGATGGTTTCGGTGAGGTTGCGATGGGTTCAAGCCCCTGCGCAGGGTTAGCGATGCATTGCGCGCCTTAGTGAAATCCTCCCCTGGTCCGAGAATGAGGATATCCTCGTAAACGCGAACAAATTGTGTCCTCAGTTTAAGACGATACCGATCACGTTATCAATAGCTCAACCAGTAGGGGCGCTGGTCCGAGAATGAGGATATCCTCGTAAACGCGAACAAATTGTGTCCTCAGTTTAAGACGATACCGATCACGTTATCAATAGCTCAACCAGTAGGGCGCTGGTCCGAGAATGAGGATATCCTCGTAAACGCGGACAAATTGTGTCCTAAAAAATAAGTGTCATCCGCATTTACGCTGCCATTTTTTTTCTTTGGCTCTCTGCGGGTTTTGGGTTTCCGATCCACGCGCTGGCGATTTGAAAAACGAATTGCGCATAATAAAATACCCCCAGTTCACGGTGTACTGTTAATTATGGGTTGTCCGTCTTCCCAAGGATTTATCGCTCATAACGTGAAAATCTCTGTACAAAGTTGATGTGAAATGCATCAAATTTAAGTGCGAGAGGAACTACTTTACTTAGGCGCAACTTAGCGCAACTTAAGTTAAATGGCAAAGTCAATACGTAATATTACGTCACACCACAGAGATTTTGACTCGTCCTGCTTTAAACAGGTGACGCACACACAGCATTGCAAACACATAAAATAGGAAAATCAAAGAACATTTCAGAATAAATTTCCAGTTAGTAGTACCTTAAATATTCAAGGTATTCAAGGTATAACAAATAGAGGGTTTGACTGAAATATCATAATTTTGGTATCGAAAAAAGGAAAATCGCAAGCTTGCTCCTCGCACAAATATCTTATAGCATTGAGTGAATAGAGACCAGCAATAGCCAGAAGGGCCCATGTCGGCCAGGCTAGGCGCCAACTCATGAAAATGAGGCCAAGATCGGATGAGCGATCTGCGCATGCGCTAAATGTAAGCTAAAGTTCTACGTAGTACGTGCACACCGAGGCCGAGTGACGCAGAAAAGTCTTAACAAGGAAAGTGAAATCAATTAGGAATAGCATTCAAATTTCATCATAGAACCCTACAGATTAATAAAATCAAAATTCTATACAAAATATCAATAAACAAAATACAATTTCACTTGAAAAACACACTTTGGTGAAGCAAACCCCAAGGTCAACAAAATACATGAAACCACACATAGAAAATAAAGGGTGGGACAACAATATAAAAGGTGTATGCATCAAGTTGATCAACAACAACGTCAATGGATAACGGAAACAGTTCAGAATCTCACCTTTCTTCAGTCTGGTACGACGGCCTTTTGGTTCAGATTGACCTCAGAATAAGTAAAATCTTCTGATCGTTAACATTTCTCATTAATTGTCGATAATAGACCATTTTCCTCTTGTAGATTCAGTGAAAACTGATCCAGAATCTACGCCACCTGTATGAGTTGCGCCGCAGTTTGTTCGATCGATCGTGCGATGGGGGGGGGGGGGGGGGGGGGGGGGGGGGGCCGGGGGGCGTATTTGGGGGACAGGTGCATGAAGCAGGCATTCATAATGTATGGCCGTGATAGGCCTCACAATCTCTAGCCCATTTAATAAATTAAAAAATATTCACCGAATATTGGAGCTTGGGGAAATTTAAGTAAAACTGCCAATTTTCTCATCCGGGCATTTTTTTTTTTTAAATAAGGAGGGGGATTGATATAGGCTGTTATTGAAATTTAATCCGTTAATGGTACATAGATATGCTATTGTATAAGTTTTCATCAAATATGTTTCAATTCAATTTAATTCGTAGGACTACATACACCAGGGGCGGATCCGGTCGGCGGCAAGGGAGCTAGGGGCCCAAATAGGGGCCCAATTCGTGAGAAAATATGAAAGAATTTAGCGGCGAATCAGCCAGCCGGCGAATAAGCGGGGATGGTGGAGGGGGGGGGGGGTAAGGAGCAGTTAACCCCTCCCCTCCCCCCCCCCCCCCCCCTTCGTGAAAAAAATATTTAAAGCCGAATCAGCCAGAAGGCGAATATGCGGGGGGGGGGGGCAAGGTAGTAGTGAGCACCTTTTTTTTTTCTTCAAAAAAGGTTAAATTTACCTGTTTGGCGGCAAGGGGAGGGGGACCGGCCCCCTAGAAGGCCTAGATTCGCCATTGACATCACACAGAGACTCAAACAACAACTGCATCAATCGCGTTGTCCTGGAGATTCTAATTTATTACAACAACAATAATCGATTAACAAACAAGAGGAGGAGACGAGAAACTGTCTTACCTCATAATTACACCCCTATGAATATGATGCCCCTCGTTACTATTTGAGGGCAGGGGCAGGAAGCAGGGGGGCACCGATGTTGTTGTTGTTGTGTTTTGAGTTATTGGCGATTAGTCAGTGATTTGACTATTGTCGCCAAAATACTTTACGGCACGTGTTATATCTCTCAATTTTGGATTTTTTTAAAATCCAAAATCGAGGACAAAGACAAAAAATGGTGTCGCCTATGGAAGTTTTCAGCTTCAAGAAATACTCAGGGGAAATGATTAAAAAATTAAAAAACGAAATGTTAAATGAAGAAGAAGAAGGAGATAGGAGAAAGAGGAAGATCGAGGAGGAGAAGAAAAAGAAGCTTAAAGGAGAAGTAAGATGACCGTGAGGAGCAACAAATAAAGAGGAGGAGGAGATTAAAGAAAAAAGAAGAAGAAGAAGAAGAAGATGAAGAAGAAGAATAAGAAGAACAAAAGAAGAAGAAGAAGAAGAAGAAGAAGAGAAGAAGAAGAAGAAAGAAGAAGAAGAAGAAGAAGAAGAGAAGAAGAAGAAAAAGAAGAAGAAAAGAAGAAGAGGAAATGAAGGAGGAGGATCGAGAAGAAAAGAAGAGGCTGAGGAGCAAAAGAAGAAGAAGGCGAAAAAGAAGACAGTAGTATTGATAAAGAGGAAAAAGATAAAGGAAAAAGTAATAGTGAGAAGAAATAAATAAAGAAAGGGAGGCTGAAAATATTTTTTTTTTTTTAAAGAAAAAAAAAAAAAAGAAAATCGGATTTTACAATTCGTATCGACCTGGATTAAATAGACCCGGCTTCTATTCATTATATGCTATGTCAGGGCAGTGGGCTATTGTCATATCACTTTAACTTTAAGCCAGCAGTTTGCAAAATAAATGAAAATAAAATAAAATCTCACTTTTATATATCAGTAATAATTATCAGTAAATGAAAGAAAGTTTTTACGCGCAATCTTGACAATCACATCGGACTAGGCCTACAAACAAAATAATAATAATTATGCATACCGAAAGCCTCAAATCAGTATATCAGCATATTTTGTAAAGTCATTAACATGCAGAAAATATTAACAACTATGTACTCGGTTCGATTCTTCTCCTTTATACCCCACCCCCCCCCCCCCCCCATCCTTCTCAACCAGTGGCGGATCCAGGAGGGGGGGGGGGGGCCCGGGGGGCCCGGGCCCCCCCCCCCCCTTGAGAAAAAAATCATGTAAAATCACGTGATTTTTACCTTTTTGGGGGGTTGGGCCCCCCCCCCCTGGCGCTCAAGGGGGGGGGGGGGTGCAAATTGAAATTTTTTTGAGGATCCAAAAAAAAAATGTGCTCACTAACCCCCCCCCCCCCCCCCCCCCCCCCCCCCCCCCCCCCCCCCCCCCCCCCCCCCCCCCCCCCCCCCACTGAGCGAAGTTTTGGCCGGCGCGTTTTTCAAATTTTCGGGAGCAAAAAAAAAAAAAAAAAAAAAAAAAAAAATGTGCTCTGTACCTCCCCCCCCCCCCCCCCCCCCCCCCCCCCCCCCCCCCCCCCCCCCACTGAGCGACTTTTTCGGCCGGCGCGATTTTCAAATTTTCGGGAGCAAAAAAAAAAAAAGTTGGGCCCCCTCCCCTAAGAAATCCTGGATCTGCGCCTGTTCTCAACAAAGAGAAAATAACATGTGATACTCTTTCTTTAACAATTATTATTTAAGCGACTCTTTGTGAAGTGCCTGAATAGCTTCATTTAATAAAAATTATGCAGTTTTGCATTCTGACTATCAAAATACTTTTATTCTTATCAGACTTGATAAACATGCAGGAGCTAATTACGGATAGGGTCGAGTTACGATCGAGGCTCACGGATCTACAACGGGAATAAGATCTCCACCTCCTCCCCCCGTAAGTTTAACCAACAATGACATATCATGTTAATCGATTCGTCGATCTGGCGCTGCTCAGTGGCTGCCGGGCTCACGATCAATAAATTGGGCAAAAGAATTTCCATTTTCGGTTTAACTTAATAAAATTTGGAGTGGACATTAAAAGATTATTATTATAAGTCTATCATTATGAACCGACAGTGGTTACAATTTTAACCAACGACCCAAGCGCGGACATAGGGGGGTGGTGGGGGTGGTTTTTGGCTTCCCCCCTCCCCCCCCCCCCCCTTGAGCGAAATAACGGCGGCATGATTTTCACATTTGCGGGTACAAAAAAAAAATAGTTCTCCCACTCCCCCCCCCCCCCTTTCACACTATTTTCACTTTCTTGGGAGTGACGTCCGTGATCACTTGTTTAGGAGTGAAAATCGATTGATTTTAGAGTGCTCTCTAAGAAGAAAAGAGTGAATGTTCACTCTATTTTCACTACATTTTCACTCTCCAGAGGAGTGACGTCCGTGATCACTCGATTTTTTTTTTAGAGAGTATATTGCCCTTTAAACGTTATTCCTACATTAGTCCCATTAATAATGTAATGTTGGACTCGAATTAGCACTCATTCTTTTATTAAAGTATGTAACGTCAGGCTCCGACGTTGGATTGTTAACCACCCCCCCCCCCAACCCTGGCCCCAGATTACAACGTTTTAGGCTTAATATTGTTAACATAGAATGTTACCATTTTGTTTTCTTTCTTATTTCGTTTGTTTTTACAGACGGTATATTTCCTTTCACCAGGGATATGTGAGTTTATCCCTGCTTTCACCCTTTTTTGACACATCTTTCTGGGCCTATCTCTTTAAATCAAATATATTTATATATTTTTCTTCTTTCCTCTTCTGCTGTTTCTTCTCCTTTTTAAATTTTTTTTTATCCTTGATCTTCTTCTCTTTTCCTTCTTCTCTTTCTTCTTCTTCTTCTTCTCCTTCTTCTCCTTCTTCTTTTTTCCTTCTTCTCTCCTCTTCTCCTCCCGTTCATCTTCTTCTACTGCGATTCTCATACAAGCTCATATACTCACGCAGGCATAATATACGCCCCAGTTCGAGACACGCCCAAGATTGGCAAGAACTTTCACGGTGTCCAAAAGTAGTGTACGTGTTTTATTTTTGGCATGACGGAATGGGCTATATTTAGCTCATACTACACGCGCTAGGCAAAATACACGGTTCTGATTGGTTACCCAAAATAGACGTCTGCTAGTTCCGTATAAAAGCCATCCACAACACGGAAAAGAGGCACTGATAAAAACAGCCGAAATTCTGGTGTTTCACCATAATTAGAAGACATTATCTGCCTGTTGACACCCTGAGACAAGAAGCTGTGATACAGTCGACAAACGATAGTCTGTTAATAATTCAGAATCGAATCTCGACCCAAACGTAAATCATGGGTTTCGACACGAAAGACGTGCAGGTGAAGTTGACCAGCGGTCGCACCCTTCGCATCCCCGTAATCGCGACGATGACAACCCAGCAGTTGTGCGAGAAGGTAGCGGAGGAGGAGAAGGCATCGGCTGATGTTATTACTCTCAAATTCGGCGGTAAAGTTCTGAAGAGAAGCAAGTCTATGTATGGATATGGCGTCAGAGAAGAGATGGAATTGAAAGTGAAGGTAAATGTCGAGATCGAGCTCATATCCAAGCTCAACTCAGCTATTTTGTGTTTTTTTTAACTTTAGGTCTAGATTGAAGTTGAAATTATTTAAATGTCAATATATCTATTTGCACTTTGGAATGTCAAGATATTAAAGTCGAGGAGAGAAAAATAAAAAAGCTTGAAGATGCAGATAAGATATGAATCTGACACGTTATGATTGCATGCTACAATATTATGATTCATCCAAATTTGATTGATTAGAAAAAGGAATAACTTTGTTACATGCACTTATTCATTGCAATTAACGTCAGATATCGATATATCTTTTCTTTATAAATATTACCGTTCTTGCCTAAGGCTATGCCGGAAGTCCTTTTTTTTAAAGAGAAGGTTGAATTCTGGGAAGAGGTAAAAAATAATTTGTGAGCGTTATCATTGTTATTAGATCTATGCAAGGGTGGAAGAACATCAGATTAAACATGTTCCCTGAAAAGCATGGCTCTTCAAATGCCTTCATATTCTAATATGACATGAAACATCGTAAAAAATCGGGGGAGGTTTTTTTTGCCAAGTGCTCGTGTAGTCCCATATACATCATTCTGTGTACAGTGCTTGTAACTTTGCCAAGATTTGGCCAAATTTCTTATCATTTTGATGATTCCAGAACCACACTATACTTATATACTGTAGATGATCAACCTTTTCTGATAGATTCCACACCGTTTCTTTCACAATGCAATCACATGACCAGAACTCAACTTTATCTTTAAATTGTTATTATATGAATATAATGATATGATGTTGTGTATATGTATATACGACTTAACAAAATTATACAACAGTACAGGATATTCAAATTCAATTTTCTAAGTGCCCACATTTTGTATTTTTTCATTATGTTATCCTGCTCTTTATTTATTTTTGAATGCTTATAATATTTTCCTCCTTAATGTGCTTTCATGTATATTTTGGCAGTAGCCCATAGGATTGAATGTTTGTTTTACATGATTTATTTTATATTCAACAAATAAAGTATTTAACAGTAAAAGGAAATATTCAAAAAAATAAGTAAATTTAGTTGACTAAATATGAACAGATGGGTAATCTCTCCTTTGCCTCCTTTGTAATAAACCATATTTTTAACGTTGTTTAAATCTGTAGCTTTTGACGAAGGAGACCCTAAAGGTTCACTTGCATCTCCCCGGAACGGACAAAGAAGTCGTCTCCTTAGATATCTTCAACACATCAGCCAACTCCGAAATATTGAGCAAATTGAAAGGAACTACACACCGAGCCTTGGTAGCCAGTATAACATGACCTTGCATGTGAGTATTTATA